CTACATCTTCTGTTCATTAAACTGCAGAAAATGTGCGAGAGTTCGGGGAGAGGCTCAAAGGGCAATTGGAAAGTCAATAACAGTCCTGACATCCCCTCCCTCCATCACGGCCAGGAGCGCTTCCACAGTGCTAGCGGTGTCGGCTGGCATGAAATCCTGTGCAGAAGTTGACTGAGGTGGTGCACTGTCACATTTCTTCTTTCTTATTGTAAAGATTAGTGCTTGCGGGGGGAAAGTTATACAGCACTTAAAAAGAAAAAAAAGAACCATGAGATTAATGCCATTTTATATATATATATGTGTATAATTTCACATGGGTGTTTGTGTAGGGTGGGTGCTAATGTTGTTACTTCCACCTTTTCCCAGGATTTACTCCTGAACAGAGACTTGTGGCTCTCTGAGAAGTGCCTGAATCCTTGCAGTGGCTTCATGGCAGTGGATGTACAGCTCACCGGTGGTGCTAATGAGAAGATTAGGTATAGGGAGATTGAGTGACTTGCCCAAAGCTAGAAAATCTGTGTCACTTCTTAAATTACTGCAATCATCTTCAGTCCTCTTGGAAATGTGTTATTTTCCTTTGTCTTGGAAGTGCATGTAGAAACATTACAACTTTATATCAACTTTCCGGAGGTGAAATCACTGATCACTTCTACCTGGCTAAAAGCAATGCAGTTGCCAATGCTCAGAGTGGTTTCCTTACCCGTTTTGTTTGTTTTGCTGTGAAACTCCTGCTGCGAATGTTCGAGTCCTTGAAATGATTGGGTTTGGGGTTTTTTGCCTTTTTTTTTTTTTTTTTTTCCTTAGTAACTGAGGTAAAGGACAATGAGACACTTTTTGATTCGAAAATCCGTAACACAGCCGGAGCCAGGAGGTTCCACCCCCCTTTCCACCCACCGCCGCACGAGCCAAGCGCCGGGCTCTGCCAGCTCAGGCTTGCCGCTGTCACGCTTTGCCGTTCTGCAATGTGCAAACAGCCCGGTGACGTAGCGGGGTAACGCTGTTTGAACAGCCTCTTCACTCAAGGATTTTTCTAACATGAATTGGACAGGAAATAATGGATATGCATATTGAGCGCAACATCGCATCGTGCGAGGGGAGTAGCCAACGCAGCGCGCCACGGCGGGAAACGAGGCAGGAACATTTTCTCAGCAAATCTGGCTCAATGAGCTCGCAGGTGGTTGCAGAGGCGAAAGAGGACGGGCTTTGCAGGATGGGTGGAGTTGGTCATGTCCTGCGAGTCATCTGTGGAAGGAGAGGCGTAAAGGGGTGCCCCTGCCTTTTTGTCTCACCTAAAAGATGTTACTTAACATTGATTACCTACCGTCTCCCTCTCCACCTTCCCCTTTGCTCCATAGACTTGTACGAGTCCTCCACTGCTGCTTTATCTGTGGAGCAGTTCTCTCTGCCTGGGTGGGCAGACAGATGTCTCCTCCCGTGAAGCAATCCATCACACCCTGTGCAGAATTAAGGCCTTCCTCGCTTGTCTATCACTTAGCTTCATAATTTCCTGCAGATTGCTTCATATCGTCAGGTCTCTCTTTTCGTCTGACAGCACCTTCCACGCTCTGCTTTCTCACAGTCCCCGGTGAAATTCACCCATTTTGAACAAATCGCTCTTAAACCGTTTGCAACTGAAGGAAAGTACTTGTGAGTTATTTCTGGGGGAGTCCTATCCCTTGTGGAGGCTCAAAGCATGCGTTTCGTGTGCCATTTGCTCGGGCATGCTTTGAGAAGACCCCCTGGGTTGAGACCAGGCACTTTCGCTCATCCCTGCATAGACGTGGACCGTGGCATTTCTTCGCAAGCTGGACTAGCAGTGACCTGTGTCAGTCCTCAGACATTGTGTCAACGGGTGACAGGAACGACTCGTATTTGATCTTGAAGTTCTTGCTGATAATTCAAGATTTCTTTGGGCTGGATTTTTTGGGGTGTATCTGTTGACCTGTGGCACCGGGCAGCTGGATGCTGGGGAGTGTTTCTAAAGTGGCTGGTGTCTGAGAGCTGGGGTATCTCCAAAACCTGGGGAAGAGGCGATGAAGGGGGAAGCTCCTTCATCAAGGTGTGAAGGACAGTGAGGCCTCAGGGACTCTACGTCTCTAGGATGATTTGTGGTAAGGGAGGCTGAATCACTGCCTTGAGGATCGCTCTTTTTAGCGGGGAGTTGGTCTGTACCGCTCGGGCCGTGCCAGCAAGTAACAGCAAACGCAGTAACACGGGTTTGATTTCTCAGACAAGGTATCCTTCACGCTGAATTACACCTTCCTCTGTACTTGCTGGTGTGCAAACACTTCAACCCTTGTGCGGGGCTTCTCCTCTAGAAGGCTCTGCCCTCGTCGCCGTCTCATGGTGGCCGGGCTGAGCGGGTCACACACAGCTGACGAGCGTGGCGGTGGATGCTCTTGGCCTCTCAGTCCTGGCCAGACACTGGGAGCAAAGGACTGGAGACTACAGTAGCGGCAACTGTGTTTGCTGGGGGCTCGTGCTACCCTGCTAAACCCCCGCCGAGGCAAATGTCCCCGCAGCAGCTGTGTGCGTGCATTCCTCTGGAGCCGGCTGCCCCCAGCAACATCTTCATGGGACGAGGTGAAATGCTTCCAGCCCCAAAATATTCTTCTTTCAGATGGCTGCCTTCTGAACGGACTCTTTGCAGAGCAATTCCAGTCAAGTGGAAAATGTGACTTATCCTGGTGTACCTCATCGAAGTGACCGAAACCATTATCAGAAGGTTATCAGAATGCTTGGATCCGGAGTCAGCTTTGTGCTATATAAAACAAACTAACATTTTGATTGAAGCCCTGGTGTGAATGAAGGTTAAAATAATAAAAAAGGGTTAATTTTTTGTTGCAAAAGGAAGATTTTTAGGTTGGTGGTTGTTTTTTTTCTTTACAATCTCAGAAAGTTTCATGAGGAAGATTCCCTTTGAGCTGTTCAGCTCAGCTAAAGAAGGCAGAAATTTTTCTTAGTCACTGCAACACGTAGAAAAATCCCCGCCACATGACAGCCCCGGCCACCTGATGGAAGGGAACACGATGACACTTTCATATTGGGAATATAATGAATTTCTTCACTTTGCCTGGAAGCAGCTCCCAGAAAAGCTATATTAAACAGTGGTGCCTAAATGACGGCCCTGAAGGTGGCGGTGACTGCTGCAGCGCGGGCTCGACAGGTTGCCCCATCCGAGCAGGAACCAGGAGGCCGTAGGCTCCCGGGCTGCCCCTCCACAGGGGACTGCGTCCTTGTCCCCGTGTGTCACTGACGCGGCACATCCCACACCCGGTCCCGCTGCTGGAGGGGGCCCACAAGGACAGCAGCCGGGAACAGCTGGTGGGAGAAGTGGGAACAGCACCTTTCCCCGCACTTGGCACGTACAGGCTGTTGATGAACCGTTAATAATCCTGTATGGTCACCAGGTGTAACACGGAAGGGCTACTGAATAACCCAGTGGGTTTTAGAGGCTGCATTGCAATCTCTCTGGGTAATATTTTACTTCTGGTTTTAAGTTTTTGCTGTCCTTGCATGATGTTACACTGGAATAAACTGTTCTCTCCAGCGCAGAAAGTGTTCGGGGAAGGACGTGTAAGAAATTATAGGAAGCAAGTTGCTAAAAATCCTTTCACTTTCAGTTCCCAGCAACTCTGAGCCCTCACACTGACGCGTGCTGTATGTCGCTGATTCATCAGCCCATGGAAAATATGAATTTCAGTGAGAAATAAGTTCTTCTGAAATGTGCGGGAGACAGCACTGGGGACCAAGGTCCTCAGCTCCTCTGGCGGGGGGCAGCAGACATGAAATTTTCTTTTCCCTTTGCTGCCAACATGCCTTGGCTCTGACCCGGGGAAACCTCTTCAAGAGGAGTACAATTCAGGTCACGACTTGGCAAGCCCTTCGCTGTATCAGGACTTTGGTTTCCAGGTTCACTCCAGGCAAAATTTAACTTCTCTTGCGTAGATGTGGCAGCCCTCTGGTATGGAGCTGTTGTGCAAAAATAGGCAATATGGCATTCTCTTGAGCTCTCGGTTCTCCTTGACCAGCAAGTCTCTCTCCGTGCTTTTCTCTTTCCCCGACTGAGATCACCGCGCTGTGCTAGGTGTTGAGTAGGAAGAAAAAATTGGGTGCTGGACCAGTCTCCCGGCAAAATCCATCTCCCATATGCCCTGTGGGGCAAAACACTGGAATATGGGCAGTGCTGATTCCTGCCCCATCACTGAACTCAGCAAGGAGCTGACACTGGAAAAGGGGTTGGGATGCTGAGCAAGAAGTGAAGAAGCAGAGGTCCTCCAGGGGCTGGGAAAACTACCCCGTGGTCTGAAAGGGAAGCAAATGCTTTGTATGTGATTGGATTTATTTCTGGGCTGCACACAATGAGCAGATAATAATCCATGGGGATCTGGGTAGAGGTTTAGGGTCAGCTGTGTGGGTTAGGAAAGCCAAGGAAAATTCCTTGGGAAGGGCACAAGGAATTTTCCTTGATGGGAAGTGGGTCTGCTCCATCAGAAGGAGGAAGGGTGGGCTGGGATGGGGGGAGGAGGTGCCTCATACAGAGCTACCTGTGCCACTTCGCCATAGCGCGGGGCAAGGGTGACCTCTGGCAAACCAGTGTGCAAGGCTGTCTTCTGGGGTTAACGGGTACAACTGGGAATGGCCCCGTCACAGCCAGCATTACCCTGCAAGGCGCCACCCCTTGTGATTTTCCGAGCAGAGGGGCACTGGGAACAGCGGCTCTGGCGCAGCATTGCAGGGCTTCACGGGATTACTTATTCACTGTGTTCCTGGAACAGCTCCAGGCTGCCCGTCTCTGCCTCCAGTGTACAAATTCAACAAGTATCCACAAGGCTCACAATCCCCAGAGGCAAGAGAAGACAGTAGGAAGGTGTTTCATACTGCAAATCACACTGTCTCCGAAGGACCTGCGGGGCTCTGGAAAGACGGAACCGGTATCCTCCCTTCTTCTACCTCCCTAACGCTTAATCAGGGTAATTAAGGCAGCAGGCTCGGTCTGGATGGATTTCATTGCCGGGGCCATTGGAGGTAAATACGTAAAGTAGTGGTTGTTGATGAAAATGGATCTCTGTGTTTCTTTCTCGTTTAGCCAGCGGGCAGTTCTCAACGGTACGGCTGAGAGTCTTTCGATGGGGGCTGCTCGTTAAAAGTGCGTTCTTTATTAAGCGGACAATGTCATCAGAGCCGGCTCACGGAGGCACTGGAGAGGCAGCGTGGCAATTTGGTCAGCTGAGGTCATTGCCCTGCCATCTCCTCTCTCCTAATTGCAGCCGGACAGGGCAAAACTCTGATAGGAAGAGACAAAGCGGAATACGTTGTGTGTGGATACAAACTGGCGAGTGATGCTCAGACGGCAAAGCCTCACGTGTCTGGTGCCTGGGGGTCCTGGCAGGCTGTCGGGGTGGTGGCTCTGTGGTGTTGGGGATGCGGTTTGTGGGATGAGAGGGGTGGAGGCACGGCTTTTTGTGGTGGAGAAGGTCTGAATGAATGCCCTTCGCATTATCTGAGGTTAAGATGTATTTGCAGTCGTGATGGCAGTTTCAGCGCAGGCGTGCTACGCAGCAGGCTTTGATCTGGGAGAAAGTAGGTTAGCCAGATATAAAAAAAAGCAGAGGGGGAAAAGCGTGATTTCGTTCTAGACATTTTTAGAGCGTGTACTGCTCAAACCCAGCTTTGTTTTAAGCAACAAATTGTAGCCATCGGTTTCATTTCTTTTCTGAAATCTTGTCAGATTTAGTGGAGTATCAAATACCAAGACAAGAGCCGTGACGTCGCTGCTGCCAGAAAGGCCAGGTAAACCTGAACCTGCCAGATGGCTGAGATGCCCAACCCAAGCCTGTGTGCCAGATCTCACTTTGAGATCTGCTGAAATTTGGCAGGTTCCCTCACCAGGAGCAGCCTGTGGTCCTGGTGCAGATGCTCAGTCCCTGGGAAGGACCATGATGAGTTTTATTCTGCAGCCCCTTATTGCTCATCACCCAAAATGTGCAAGAGGGGCAAGGTTTGGTGTTTCATCAGCATCCAGCCCTGGAGGTGCCTGTTGCTCGGGGTGTCGGTGCTGGGAGACCCTGCTTGGGAAGGACCTTTCATGGGAGAGAGGGTTATAACCAACCCCTCCATGACAGCTTGCCTTTCTCCTCCTCTCTCATTGCTGACTTTAAAGCACTCGGCGGAGATGGTAGCCCTGTGCTGAGGCTGGCCACGGGATGTCCATCCCTGGAAGGATTCACCGAACCTCCTCTGAGACATCCCGTTAATGACTGGGCTCAGCTCAGCAGGACAGTGACCATTGCGTTTGCTGCTTGGACTCCTTTGCTTTTGTTGGCGCAGTTGTAGTTGAGCCACTTTAAGGATAAACTTCTTGCACAAGGGAATGTGGACAGTTGAAAGCACAGTTTCAGAGCGGCCATTCACCTCAGCATTCTGCCCCCACTCCTGTGTGAGGCCATGATTTGTGCGAAGTCGGCCTGTCTGGGCACCAGCATCATGCGCAGTGAGCATCTCCCGTGGGTGCCCTGGGAACGGGCTCAGCCTGGGAGGATGCAGGCTGGGGAGCTCCGGTTGGGATCAGAAATGTCTTTGGTTGTTTTAACATACCTCACTGACTCCGGGGTGTCAGGGAGCAAGATTTTTCCATTCTGACATCTGTGTGCAGCTTGGGGTTTTTCTAAGAGGGGTAACGCACTTTTCCCTGGCAGACAGAGATGTTTTCTGGCATGCTGTTCCCTGCGGGGAGCTTCCACATAGACATGTGCAGGGTGCCGGGGCAGGGCTTCAGGGCTGCGGTCCCTACCCTGACATGGGACAGCTTTCCTGTGAGAACTGGGATGGTTTTGGTGCTGAGCTTGTTTCATGGCTTGTGTTTGTTAGAGCTGAAGCAGTCTTCATGTTCCCAAGGAGGCTACAAACCCAGCCGAAGTGCATCAGACAACTCAAGAGGAGACACAGATAATAACAGAATTTCTGTTTAGTAAATTGCATTCTTGTGACCTTGATCTGTTTTTGGAGTGTTTTGGAGAAAGCATGGCCTAAGCACCTCTGAAAACCAGCAGAGATGCTGCCCTCTTGAATCCCATGTAATGATCCAGCCTGGCTCAGGCACCCGCACAAGTATTGTGCATCTCGTCTGAGCTATTGCTTCTGTGGCCACAGGACAAGCTCAGCATCTTCTGCCCAGGAAACAGTGGCCTGCTGCGACTCCAGATGGAACATATGTGAGAGGAACATGCTTAATGACATGGAAACTTTCAATAACCACCAAATGGGGCAGGATGTCCTTGAAAGCAGCTCATCTACAAGGATGTCCATCCAGGCCAATAAAGCTGAGCAGGAGGTTGTAGTAGAGACCTCCTGAGGTTCCTTCCAACTTGAATTTTCCTGTGACCCCATGTATGTTTTCTAGCCCTGCTACGGCAGCAGCCTGGGCCACAGCAGAGGATGGGTATTGATGATGAGGGCTGTTGACAACTCTGGAACTACTTGACTCTTATGCCGGTTGTAAAGATTTGGGAAGGAGAAGCTGAGGTTCACCCAGTGGTGGTAGAGCAGCAGGGTCTGCAGCATGCCCAGGCCTCTCCACATCTTACTGCAAGGTTACACACCAGTCACATGCAGTCCAAGGTTAGATAAAATAGTCCACTTACGGCAGGAACATGCTGTCTTCTTGTCCTTATGGCTAAAGCAGCTCCTGCTGGCCACTGCCAGGGTCACGTTACTGGATGGAGTTCAGCTTGTTTAGGATATGGGGCACTTCTTATGTTCCCAGCTCTTCACAAAATAAAGGTCTTTGGAAGTTTCTGTCTGCCCATCCAGTGCATGGACCATGATCCCTGCCTCTCCCTGGGTCTCTCAGCCAGGGGTTTGCCACCAGCTTGGGACTGTTGCAGCCTGGTGGGCTCCGTATGGCTGCCGCTTGCTCTGTGCTAATTACCGTTGCAGTGGTCACCCTGCCAGGATCCCTCCTCATTCGAGTCGCCTGGTCGGAGTCACCTGACTCGTGAAGAGACTGCGAGTAATCCAGTTTTGGCCCTGCGCTCTGTGTGTGTGTGCGGGCAGGGGATGCCATAACCTCTGCGCAACACCTGAGGACATCTCAGGTAAAAGTAGGCATGAAAAATGGCTGACTACGACCCAATGAAGATCATTCACCTGGTTTTACCATTGATTTTCACCACAGCTGGTGCGGTGTTACTCAGCGGGCGTCCCACAGGATCCCTCTCCTGTATGCATGCTATCCATTGCTGGTCTTGTTTGAGTCTGCTGTGCAAACAGGGCATGTGTGGGTCGTGCTATCTTTGTCCCAGGCTATTTATATTGCGTGACATTGTGCAGAGCACTTCTTCCTCAGCCTTTGATGGACTTGGCTGAGCTCCTCAGCTCTGACAACTTAACTGCCTTGAGTGCTTTGGCTCTGAAAGAGCGCAGTTCACGGCAGGCTGTGGCTGTTTGGAGGTTTGGGGTGGGAGCAGTGAAAAATTTATGCTTATGGTCTCCTCCCAAGCGGAGGCATTTGGTCCTTGCTGGACCCAAGGTGCGCAGGAGCCCTTAGGACTCAGAAGCAATGGGAAATAGGATGTTTTGGGGCAAACCTGCTTTATTTTGTGTATGTTGCTTCTGTCTCTGCATCTTCATGTGTGAACAGGGCAATTTCTCTGGAAGGGAGGCACCTCTTGTCAAACACTGACCCGAATCAGCCTTGGTACCTGATGTGCATGAGACAGGGCTCCTACCTTCCTGAGCTGGTGGACCAAGCCAGGGCTTAGCTGTGCAAGGCACGTGTGCCCCTAAACCACCAGTGTCTGCTCAGCCCGCACGCACCGCCTCTGAGGCTCATGAAGCCTGAAAGCGGTACGATGCCAAATCCTCCCGTCTGGGACAAGTTCTTGGGCCAGGGGACCGCACCTCTGAGGTCAGCACAGTCATGCTGACATTGACTTATGTGCTACTCTTCCCTGGCTGGCGGGGTCAGTGTTTGCCGTCTGCCTCTGGCTGGTGGCTGGGAATCTGGGACAGTACAGGTGGCCCCGGGTGACTTTTTGCATTGCCACTCTGCTCGGACCAGAGGCATTGCTCCTTTGAGCCGTATTGCTCTGTCTGTGTGTTCCCCCATAGCTGTCTCTCTTCCAGCCTGATCTCTTTTTAGTTTTGAAATACAGAAGGTGGCTTCTTGGCCCATTTTTCGCCTTCATTGCTATTCATCTGGTGGCAGATTTGATAGAGATTTTTGCAGAAAAAACCCTCATTTTTATGCAAGCAAGATGCTGTTGCTTGTTTTCTTCTAAGGAATGCACCTTGGGATTGTCTCCTGGTGACTCACACCAGCAGCTGCTGCTTTTTTCCAAAATGTAGTAGAGCTTTCCAGAGCTCCCAAGCAGCCACGTAACCACAGATGAACATGCCTAGTGAAATGCTCACTGTGATTAATAAATTTTTAAGTACCTTTTTCTTCTTTTTTTTTTTTAAAGAAGTGGCAGTTGAGAGGCAGTTTTGAACTCGTGAGCCATCAGACACACACTGTTATCTGTGGCTGCCTGGTTCCTGAAGGGCTTATCCAGCTCTTGTATGTACTTGATCTCTGCCTAAATAACTCACACGGATACAGCTCCGTTCTCCCTCCAGCCCAATTTCCTCTCAGATGACTTGGCAGCTGATGTACTGGGAGGAAGTTAGCTGGTCAGCCCCTTCATCATCTGGTGTATCTGCCAGCAGATGCATTTAGATCAGAGCTGAGAAACACCGTGAGGTAAGGGCAGGGACGGTGGGTGGCTGTGACCAAGAGAAGTCCATGTTGGAGCTTTTTTGCTCTCCTTGTCTGCCATTAAGGCAGTCACTTTGTCTCACAGGATTAATATGTTTCCAACTCCAGTGGCTGCTTTAAGATCTCGCAATGAGCCTGGGTGTCGGTAGAGGATTGACAACCCCTCCAAGCACACTGGACGTGCCATTGATGCCGCAGTCGGAGTGTCGCAGTCTGCTGGCGTGCGGGTCATACTGCGGAGCGCGCTGGCGTTGTGCACGCCCGGTGCTAATCCCACGCTGCCCCTTCATCCTGTGGAGCCCCCGGTGGCGGGGGGCCGGGAGTCTCACCACAGAGCAGCACCGTTGGTTGTGCGGCGCCCCGGCCTCACACCATCCTGCCGGGGCTGCAGGCAACCCTGGTTTTTGCTCCTTGCTCGGCTTTTGCAGCCGTGTTTGGTGCACATAGGAGATGTGCTTCAGAGGCTTAGTCCAGCTTGGTGCTGTGGACTCTAATGCCCCATGAACTCCTCCGTCAGGGCTTTAGATGTGCTTTGTAAGGTGCAGCCAGGACATAGAATCACGGAATTATCTAGGTTGGAAGGGAATTTTAAAATCATCAAGTCCAACCATTAACCTGACACTGCCAAACCCACCACTAAGCCATGTTCCTCAGCACCACATCTACCCGTCTTTTAAATACGTCCAGAGATGGCAATTCCACTGCTTCCCTGGGCAGCCTCTTCCAATGCTTGATAACGCGTTCTGTGAAGAATTTTTCCCTAGTATCCAATCTAAACCTCCCCTGGCACAACTTGAGACTGTTTCCTCTTGTCCTATCGCTTGTTACTTGGGAGAAGAGACTGACCCCCTCCTCGCTGCAACCTCCTTTCAGGTAGTTGTGGAGAGCGATAAGGTCTCCCCTAAGGCTCCTTTTCTGCAGTCCCTGGTGAGCAGGAGGGAGCAGCAGTACCTCTCTTGCCTTCCAGAAGGAAGACAGATTGCTGAGAACCTGTAATGCCTGAGGACCAGCCCTCTTATAGATATCTTGTGACCGCTGCTTTTATTTCTTAGTGTTTCCAAGTCAAGCATGGAGAACCAAAAATGGCTCCAGAGACCCCTCATGTGAGTGGGGACGCTTTGCACCTCATGCAGGGGTGCCGGGTTATAGTCCAAAGATGTGTTACTGCTTAACCTGAGAGGGGGAACAGAAACAGTCCAATATTGTACAGGTCATCCCTTCAACCTTCCTGCAGCAGTGCTTTCTGTGTCTCCCCCAGTCTCGCTTGTACTGTGGAGTTATTCCTCCTCATAAGTATCCTGTGGCGCTCGAATTCCTCGGCTGAGCATGCCTTGGTCAGGCAGAGAAATCTGCGCATTTTGCTCTGTCATTCTTGGCTCAAATGACATCCCTGGAGCTCGGGAGAGGTCTGGTGCCAAGCACGGCAGGGCTCTGAAGCTGCATTTTTCTGCCCTTCCCCTAACGCCTTCCCGCGATGGGGGAAAACGGTCTGTCGTGACATGTGCTGTTAACCATCTCCAATACGCTCTCTGTTTCAGGTGGTCTGAGCACAGCAGTGGGTTACCCGTTGGACACAGTGAAGGTACCTGTTGGAGCTTTATTTCTTGACTACAGACTGAAAACAAACAGGCCCTTTTGCTTTCCCCCTCCTTTTTAGAAAACCAGTCCCATGATAATGCGTCATCTCTGTTACATCAACATATTTCACTTTATTTGGTTGTGTTGTTTTTCTCTTTTTTTTTTTTTTAAAAAAAAAAAGAGTAAATTTTTGGCAATGCTATTTTATAAATAATTATCTGGTTTGCTGCTATGGCACTTGTGGATTTTTTATTTTTATTTTTTAACCTGATATCTGCATTTCAAAGTTGTCCCTGTATTCCTAGGTGAGAATTCAGACCGAGAGGCATTACAACGGGATTTGGCACTGCATTCAGGAAACATACAGGACAGAAAAAGTAGGTACCGCTCATCAGAATTGCTGATACCAGCTATGGACCACTTGTTTCAGAGAAGCAGAGCTGACTCTGTCAGCCTGGGGAGGACGGGCAGCACTTACATGCAACCGTGTGTTGTGAGAAGGGTCAGGATGAAATTTAGCTTTGCCGATGAGCTGTAAGTTTTGGCTCAGCCATGTAGAGCCAGTGTTTTTGGACAGATGCTTTCCCACGCCGTTCCCTCTTAAAAGCTTTCTGTTCTTTCTCTTCCCAACTAGATTTGGGGATTTTACAAAGGTGTGTCTGCATCGGTCCTCTCAGTATCGGTGATTTCTTCTGTTTCCTTTGGCGCGTACAAGAACTTCCTTTGTACCATCTGCAAGCTGCGATACGGGGCCGCAGAGGCGAAGCCCTCCAAGCTGGATGTTTCTCTTGCCGGAGGTGCTGCCGGTGCTGCCCGGGTAGGTAAACAGCCGAAAGGGAAAGGACAACAAGAGATCTTGTTCATAAACACAGAAGGTTGGAAATGCAGTGAATGTTTTCTGGCGGGGGAGCCTGCAACAAGTCCAGTGGGTTTGTTTTCACAGGGGGGGTGTCACGCTCTGCCCATGCCACCCCTTCACTGGTTGGCTCCATCCTGGTTTAGAGCACCAAAACACTTAAGAACACACTGTTAAGAACGACATGGACCTTGGAAGGAAATGCAGAAAAAGGAAGTAAAACAACCTGGGCAGTAAACTTTGAGCAGCTCTGATGGTGTGTTTATGTGAGAGAGACGTAACTCAAAATAGTCAGGACCCAAAACTCACCGGGGCACCACTGAGAAGTGATGCTCCCTGGCAAACGCGTGTGACCCCAGGACAGGGAGGTGAGCGAGGCTGAACCCGAGAGCCGTTTCCCCGAAGCAGGTGGATTTCTGTGAGCGCCCGTGGGCGCTGCCAACGGGGCAGAGCTCACCCCGGCGCCCCGATGACGTGCTGGGCGGAAACGCGTGCTCGGTCACAGGCAATCCTCTTACAGAGCAGTCCAGATGGTCGGGTTTCTAGATGTTTCCTAGCAGGCAGCGACTCTACTTAACGCAGGTTAATTTTTTAAAAAGTCTTTATGGCCTTGGTTCCAAACACAGATACCTACAAGAGCCTTGATGGCTGCTATAGCTGAGGACATCCCCTTTCCATGCCCATCAGGTTTAATAAGTTGTTACAGTTGTTTAATATCCTGTGTTGATTTCTGCCTTCTGCTCTGCACAGTGCGGCTCCCACACGCGTCCTGCTGCTGCTGCTGGGTGGGATTTAGCACAGGCAGAGTGGAGGGGGCTGGAACTTGCCTGCTTCAGGCAATATTATTGCCTGAAAAGGTGGGAGACGAGGGATTTGATCAGGATCTGCCTGATCAAAACACTGGTTAAGTGTGAAGGGTTAAAATACCATCCTCTGGTGTTACAGGTTGTGTTGATGACCCCTAGTGAAGTGGCTAAAGTTCGCATGCAGACTCAGAGGAACCCGCATCCTTCCATCACATCTCCCCAGCCTCTTTCCAAGCCAAAGTACCGGGGGTCTCTGCACTGTCTGAAGGTGATCGCCAAGGAGGAAGGTCTTGGGGGTCTCTACAAGGGCTGCTCTGCATTACTCTGCAGGGATTGCGCTTCTTCTGCAATATATTTTCTTACCTACTCTGCTCTGTGCGACTGGCTCACACCAGCTGGGAAAAATAAACCAGGTAGGAATCAGAGAGCATCTGGCATTACCCGCAAAAGCGGCTTATTTAGCGCCACGCTGAGAGGGACATCCAGGTCTCGGCAAACATCACCCGGTACCTATAAAGCCTCACCCAGATCCGGTCCTCACGCAGGGTCGCTGTGTGTTTGCTTCCCAGCGTCCCGGGGCCATCTGTGCCCTCCCGGTGCGGGTGGCAGCAGCCTGCGAGCGAGGGCTTCGCCCGCACCCCCCTGCCCCGCAGCAGCCACTCCTCTCCCTGCGGGACGGGGGATTACGGTGCCTGGAATGCGGGTGTGAAATCCTCTGGGTGCAGAATCAGGATGTGTAACTAGAAAATGAAACATGGACGAACCTCCCAGGAGCCATCAGGATCAGTCCAGAGCTTGAAAATAAAGGCCAGGTGCAGAACGTAAAGACACTCAAGTTTCCTGGTTGCGGTTTTGCTCCAAAAAACAGCTATCCGCTTCGAGAAAAGATCAAACGGGTGACATTCAGCAAAGAGCATCTTCCTGAGAGTTATAAAAACAAGCAGACCCAGCTGAAGCGGGTGTGGGTGCTCTCAGGCTGCATCACATCATGGTGCGATGTTAAAATAGCTGCTGCCCCTGCACGAGCCGGTATGATGGATGCAAAGATGAGTATGCTGTGAAATTTGTGTGAGATCGCTGAAAACTCACAACTGCAAGAGATGGACAAAATAACTGCTGAAAAACATGAACGTTAACCAAGTCAGCTCACAAATTATCGGCGCAAGGCTCCCGTTAACCGCTCCTCCCTTCGCTCCCGCAGGTTTCCTCGTGGTGCTGCTTTCTGGTGGTTTCGCTGGAGTCCTGGCCTGGGGATTAGCGACTCCCATGGATGTCATCAAGTCCCGGATGCAAACAGATGAATCGGACCAGCACAAGTACAAAGGCCTCGTCCACTGTGCTCGGGAAAGCGTGCGGAAGGAGGGTGCAAAAGTGCTTTTCAAAGGACTGGGTTTAAACTGCCTTCGTGCCTTTCCTGTGAACATGGTGGTGTTTGTAACCTATGAAGCTGTCCTGAGATTTACAGATCATTATATAAACAAAAAATAGCTCGTGCCACTCAGTTCAGAGGTGTATTTTGTTTAGTTTGTTTTGGTTTTTTTTTGTGACACAACATCCACAACCAACTGCTGAACACCGTGTCCTTTGATGGCCGGCCGGGAAGCATGGACATTTCAGCACAAAGCTGGATGACTGACGGCTTTGTTTTATTCTTATAGGATTACAAACTCATCAGGGAGTCTCGGACTCGTAAACAACCTCCCTTTTATCTTGTTAGGGTATTTAGACTGTAGCCGCTGCTTAGGCCCTTGAAACATTTGCAAATATTTATGTTCTAAAAAGCTGCTTAATCTGAGCAGAGATTTCAGTAAAGGGTTAATTTTGGATTCTACTGGCACAGAAAACGATCGTCACAACCAAGGCAAGATCTGGGGGAAAGTTGTGTACGATTTAACACCACCCAGCGTGTGCCCTTTACATGCAATGCCTGTTTTGCGTACACTAACTTACACATTTGTGCTTCAGGCTGCAACTTTTCCTTCCCAGCTGTAATTTTGCCCAGGTACTCTGCAATTACATCCCTTTGGCAGCAGCTGAAATACAGATCTCCTTGCTTTTTCCCTGTTGTTATTTAATGAGTGGCAGACACGGTCCGTTTACGTAATCGCCCTAATGGCCTCATTGAAAGTGAAACCAGGCACGGGTTCCCATAAGCCATCTGATTTTCCCCCTGTGCAAACCCTGAGCCCTACAGCATCCGCCGACGGGCGCCGCAGCTCTCCGGAGCCTGGCACAGCTTCGGGGGCAATCTGTTCTCCTCCTGGAAGGAGGGTAAGAATAGATGCAAAACCTCTTTGCTGTGTACGAGCGGGGTTAGGCGAGTTAAAGGAGAACTGCGACATTGTAGAGTATAATTAAGATTCACAACTTTTAAAAAGCGTGTACTCTTCTGCCTTTAAACTATGCTGTTAGGAGCAGCCAGATTTTTTTTTTTTTGAAAGACGTTCTGGCTTTCCTAGCAATTATTTCTTTTTCACAAAGGTATGAAGTTTCATCAACATGTGAGTTGAAAAAAAACAAAAACCACACCACCACACTATTGCTTCAGAAGGAAAACCCCTAAAACCAGAAATCCTTTAATTTGCTCATCCTGCCTCGTATGCAGCATAAACGTTTTCTGTCTGTCTTGTAATCCCTGGATGATAACAGCTGGAGCGGACTGGATCCAGCCCCTGTCAGATTCTGCTGAAAGTGCCTTTATTGGAGGGAAAGAGGAAGACCATATTTTTAAAGGAGTTCTCCCATTG